CAATTATATATACATCTATATCATCATCATCATCATCATCAATAACAACAACAATCAACAACAGATCTAGATCTATCTGTTGAAATAGCAGTGGCATTTTTAACAGATCTGTATCATAAGAGGTCATTTATGTCATATTTTCAACAATGATTTGTGATATGATAATAAATAATTAAAAAAAAAAAAGCAAAAGATCTGAGGTCAAATTTTTGTTTTGTTTTGTTTTGTTTTGTTTTTTTTTCATTCACTATTATCTGTTACAGATGTGTTTCAACAAATCGGCGACATCTTGTGAATCCTAGCTTTTCTTTCAGCACAAATGAATCGGAAACTTTAAAGAAATCGAACTCAGGACTTCAAAATAAGAGATCAAGATTATAAATAAAATCCATAAGTAACCATACTTGAAATAAAGACAATTTCTTTAATGATGTCCAAGAATGATTAACTGGAAGATTGGAGATTGATGATGAAGAGAGAGGAAGAGAGAGAGAGAGAGAGATAGAGAGAGAGAGAGAGAGAGAGACAGAGCAATGAGATCTATGTATATATATACATATATATAGGGGTGTGTGTGTGTGTGTGTATGTGTTGGTGAGTTTCAGATATTAGATCTAAGATTTTTTCACCAGGAAAACTTTACGCTCAGATCTGACATCCGTGTAGCCGACGATCTCAGATTTTTCACACTATGAAAACCATACTCCATGCTTAGATCTGAGATTTGAGATCTATGTGGTCGACGATCTTAGATTTGCGACGCCCTAAAAATCGAGAAAATCAGAGAATATATTAACAAATAAATACAGGATTTATCTAAGGTTAAAAGAGTAAGAAAGCATCACTAATGTGTCATTTATCTAATAACCAAATAAGATTCCAAGAAGGTCGGAGGAGTCAATATAGTCTCCTTTCTAAGTCTGACCACCTTAGATAGCAAAGCTCCATTCTGTGATAGATCTTGGCAGAGTATTAAGACAAGGCCTACATGAGTTGACGAAGTATAATGATAGATTACAAATGATATATATAATAATTACAAAATCATGTCTTAAATACAATAAACAATTAATCACTTACAATCTCCAATGTGTTTACAACTAGTTCCTAACTCTCATAGGGTGGCCATACGTCTTCAAATACTTCAGCTTTGCCTTTGACCGGTCTAATAGTCCTTAATAACTAGCATGAAACGCCATAAGTTTTGAATTCCCAATAAAAACACACACACCTCGTCCTTTTTCCGAATCCCATACATCATTGCAATAATATCAAGCAAGTAATGAAGCATGATAATCATTCAATAATAAAATATTACAAGGTTAGATGTTAGTAATCTAGAAATTTTCCAAAGAGATTTCATCCTCCCAACCGCAAGAATTGGACACTGGATTATTCAAAATTCCCTCCTTTGCTTCTTTGCAAAACTTACCACGGATGCCTGCAACGGTTACATATCACAGACCGCCGTCGGTGAACCTCAAAAGGGACGGCGAAAAGAATTTTTTTTTTTTTTTATCATCCTGAATCCAACCTTGTCCTTACAAAAAAAAAAGAAAAGAAAAGTTTATCCTCCTGAATGTCTCATCTAGACCCAACCTTATCTCACCAAATCAAATCACCGCAAAGAGTTCGAATATGTCCATTCCATTCTAGGATTTACACAATAACTGCTTGTGCAAGACTTAACCTTTAATTAGGGAGCACATCCCATCAATCCATACATAACACATTATGATCTCTTCATTATTCAAGTGATCAAAAATCCAATACCACCCCAATTAAGGTTTCTATTGAGTTAGATGTCTTAAATTAAAGTTAGAGCAACTTAACAATATAGTAATATCCACATAAGCATGAGCGTCATCAAATGAAGAAGATAAGGAACATAACCATAACACATTCAATAACATACCAAGATATGATCATATGCTTATAAGTATATTCATGAAGACAAGAGCTTAAAATACCAATACAAAACTAATTTTTCAGATTCAGTACCATTTAAAGATTAAACTCAAAAGGACCATTTCAGATTTTTCCAAGCCTGGACTTCCTATGGTTCGTAGAGAATTTTATGTTGTTTTCAGAACACGTTTCAAAAATGGAATATATTTTCTAGATTTTTAGTTATTTAAGAAACACTCCAGTGCTGTCCAAATTCGTTGACCGTTACGAAAATCGGAATTTCTTGCAAACCGCTCACTATTTTTTAATGAAACCAATTTTCCTTGAAATTTGACTCTTTAAGGAAGTTTTTGACATAAAACTTAGGTTTAGGAGACTTTTCTACATGTTTCTAGAATTTTCGAAAGTTGGTTGTAAAAATTGATTTTTCACGCATAATACTCAAAATAAGAAGATAGGTGAGAAAAGAGGCCAACTAAGGGAAATTTTTCACTTCTTTTGTGATGAAAACATACTAAATAATGTATCAATAACTCAGATTTTTAGAGAGAAGGTGTGCTTTTGTAAATAATGTGAGATATGGGAAGAAATAGGTAGTTTTACATCTATTACGAGAAAATATGAGTAAAAGAAGGATCAAAGCCTGACTCATCAACTTTGTACACATGAACACCATTACAACAATCTAAAAATATGATTTTAAACCTCTAATAACATGTATTTGAAAAAGGAACTAGAAGGAGAGATGGTAATGTGGCTTACTTGAGGCTTGGTTGAATTGCTAACAAAACCTTCTCTTTCTCTCATTTCCTTCACCAAGCTCACTTTCTTGCCCTCTCTTTCCTCTCAACTGAATATGTAAGTGGGTGAGTGTGTTTTGTGCTCAAAAGTGTAGAGAGAATTGGTGTATTTATAGCAAAATTGGTGTGAAAAGTCCAAAGTGCCCTTTGGTTAGAAATGGATTGGATATTTTGAATTTAGTTTGAATTCAATGGAATATAGGATGATTATGAAACCTAATTGTGTACCAAAACATGATCTAGTTAGGGTTAGGGCTTAAGTTGGTTACAAGTACAAGACATACATAATGCATTTGTACCTTGGTCAAATATTCTTCCTAAAATCAAGCAATTTGTCTCCAAAGTACATATATGTATATTCAAGGGGGTGGGCGGCCCATGTCGAGTGGATTTGAGGGGATTTTTCCTTGATTTTTGTGTACAAATGGTATCTAATTGGAAGATATTTGTGTACAAAATAAATTTAAGGTATAAATATGTATATAATGGTACTAGTTTGGGGTCAAAATGTGATTCAAGAAAAATATGAGGGCTAAAATCTTAGTTTGTGAATTTGAACATTTAATTAAGTGTAGTATTTAATTTAATTAGGATTTAAAAATTTGAATCGGTTAAAATTTCTTTATTTTGGATTAAATGGTGAATCATATTAAGAACCAAAAACCTAGGATTTTTGTGTGTAAAATATAATTAGAAAATCAATTTAATTATTATTAGGGTTTTGGAAATGATTCTTGAGCTCCGGGTTCAATCATGGTTTTCGAGTTTTTGGTTGGCACGCATGTTCGGCTCTATAACTAAAATTGAAGACAAATAAGGATTTGAGGGTCATTATTAAAAGAATTCAAAAGTCAAGGACTTAATAGGTTTTACAAAGATTAGGGGTCTCACAAGATCTGTGTTGGTGGTGGTGGTGACAATAAGAACAGCTAGGTCAATCTTTGTCGGACGGTTCAAGAAAAGAGCATGATGACCTATAGGGATGCATACCGGAGTTCATCAAAAAGACGATGGAGCACCACCAACAACAATTGTCACAAGTTGACGTTGGACCAACATGGATCAACAACACGACTGAACTAGTATATAGGGAAGATCTGGCTTCTGATGATGATGATAATGATGATGATGATGAGACGGTGACAGAGAAGATGAGAGAGACTAACGAGCAATAATAAAAAAGATGAGAGAGAGAGAGAGAGAGAGGTTTGGTTTGGTTTGTGAAACACTTGTTCTTATGAACAAAGTATTTGAATGGCTAAAAAAGTGAATTTATCGTTGGAACGCCTTTTTTATAGAGCATCTCTAATAGTGTTTGCTAAAATAGCATTGCCATTGTTATAATTTGGCAATGAATAGTGCTATTTTGCCAAATTAGAGCAATGGTACTCCAATGGTCACATGCTATTTTGGCAAATGTCAACCAACTTTCCCTCCAAGTTTGTAGGCGTTGTTTGAATATAGGTTTTTTAGTATTTTTTTTCTTGTTTTTTTTTTTTTTTTGGTAATCAGCTCGATGTTGTATGCACTTTCTATCCTCCATCAACCACTGTAATATATATATATATATATATTTACATTATACCCGACTAGACAAATATAAAAGATGAAAAAAAAATTAAAAAATTTTCAAAAAATAATTTAAATATAATCCACCCCACCAAAAAAATACCACTAAAAAAAAATTTATTGACTACATTAAAAAATAAACAATCACCAACTACCCACCAATAACCATCCATTGTTCACCCAGTATTCATTCACCAACAACCACCCACCAACAATCATCCACCATTCACACAGCATTCATTCACTAACAACTACTTACCCAATAACCATCCATTATTAAGCACCATTCACTTACCAACAACTGTCCATCATTCACCCACCCACAATTTTCTTTATAAATTATAATACAAGATTTTTAATAATTTTCATATTCACTTACCAACAAATTTCATATCTTCTAAACACTCTATAACCATCCACAAAATTTTCTATAATTTTCATATTCTCCCACCCACAATGAACAATTTCACTAAAGCCTTCTTCAATGGAGATTTTTATGAATCTTCATCATCTGATGATGATATAATGATGATGCAACTGTTAACAGTTCAATAACAAAGAATACAAGCATGAACCCTAAACCAACCAAGCAAACATGTTGGTTCCATAAGTGGTCGTCGATACATTAATCGTGAGAGGGTCAAAGGTGATGAACAAAATTATAGAGATCACTTTGCAAATAATCCTGTCTATCTAAAAGAATACTTTCGAAAACGTTTTCGAATGAGGCGATCATTATTTCTTAGTATCTTACATGATATTCAACAAGTCAATGAGTACTGCATCCAAACCCATGATGCCACTAGTGCTCTTGGATTATCCGGTGTACAGAAGATGACTGTTGTACTTCAGATCCTGCAATACGGCGTACCTGCTAATGCTGTAGACGAGTACATTAGAATCGGTGAAACTATTGCAATTGCCGCCTTGAATTTCTTTACCAAAACGATTGTTGCTATCTATGAAGGAATTTACTTAAGATCCCCAAATGAGTCAAATGTCTTCAGATTATTGCAAGTAGAAGAGCAACGTGTGTTTCCTGGAATGTTAGGGAGTTTGGATTGTATGCACTGGCATTAGGATAAATGTCCAACCGCCCAAGTCGATGCTTACATTGGACACTACCACAAACCAACAGTTGTACTCGAGGCAGTCGCTCCCTACAACTTGTGGATTTGGAATGCTTTCTTTGGCATGCCTAGCTCTCTGAATGATATTACTATTCTTGACAGGTCACCTTTATTTTTTGAATTAACTAGAGGACGTGCCCCTGCTGCCAACTACATCAATAATCACGCATACACCGTGAGATATTATTTTGCTGACGGTATTTATCCTTGTTGGGCAACGATTTTGAAAACAATATCTCAACCTCAATGTTTAAAGAGACAACTATTTGCAAGGATACAAAAGGCATGTCAGAAGGATATTGAAAGGGCATTTGGAGTACTTCAAGCACATTTTAATATTGTTAAAGTTCCGACAAGAGGTTGGAGTAATGAGGATCTGTACTACATCATGAAAACGTGCATTATTTTGCACAATATGATCATTGAAGACAAACGTAATACTCCATAAAATGAATGCAGTGCAGTACTATTGGAAACTGATAGCACTAATACTCCATGTCAAGTGTCACGCTATCCGAATCAGGAGTATGCTGAATTTATGCAGAATTGCCAAAGGATTAGATCTACTAAAACCCATAATGCAATTCGTAATGATCTAATTGAACACTTGTGGTTTCGATCCGGAAAGTAAGATTAAGTTTTATTTTATCTTTTTAGTGACACTTACTGTCATGTAATGTTTTTTTATTTTAATAAAATTGTCTTCATTTGCAATTTTTTTGCCTTCATTTCAATAATATATTTATTTTTTCATAATAACATTGAAAACTTAAAATTATACTAAAAAATAGTCAACAATACATTGCAAAAAGAAAATTACATTGAAACATTAAAAATACTCAAAATTACATTGAAAAATAAATAACAAATAAATGACATTACAAAATAAATAAATAAAAAATATATTTTTCCGTAATTATTCATCATGGAGGCAAGGGAAAATAGTAATTTGGGTTGCTAACATGTGCGGACCACTTAACGAAAATCTCATTTTTGCACAATATATAATACACTTTCGTTTGAGGGTCCAAATGAAAAATATTTGTAATCATTATCAAACGTTCTTCCTTTTTGATCTCAAGTTCTCTCATCTCCTGCAAATGTTCTTCTTTTTTCATCTCCAATTCTTTTGTCTCCATCATCGCTTGAATACTTTTTTCTTCTCCTTCAGCTTTTTTATTTCCTTCTCAGCAAGGTGTTGGTTATATGTCTCCAACAAATTGTTATATTTGTGGACTTTAGCCTGAACAACTTCACTTTTCTGAAGCAATTCTTTTGCAGGTTTCCTACCCATATGCCTTTTATCCATTGCAAAGACACCACCCTCACTAATTGGATTATTATCAACAGTTAGATTATTACCAACACTTTGACTAGTATCGCTTTCAAGAGAATTCATTTATCCATAGGGGATTCAGGAATTGAATTAGGGAAAAATAGTGTATGTATCCTTGACTTCACTGTATTTGTAGGAGCTACATCTTGCCACCTAATATTGTTTTGCAAGATTGGCTAACAATATTCAAAAGCAAAATGTTTGTTTTCATCTTGATGATATAAAAGTTTTACTTGAAGCATCTGTATCAATAAAATATTAAATTAATTAATTAGTTAATTTTTATATGAGAAAAAATAAAAAAACAAAAAAAAACTAACATTATAAATGAAGATGAAATCTTACTATATCAACTTTGAGACATCCCACTTCGGTGTAGATTTTCAACTTGTGCTTAACACCCACGGAATTTGTTGGAACATTTCATGATTATACCCCATCAAGATTGGATAGACACTTTTGTTCTTGATTGATTATTCCGAAGTGAGCAATAATTTTCATAAATTCTTCCCCAAAAGTGACCATAAGATTGCGAATTGAGAACAATTGGATCTTCAGAAATGTGACACAAAGTGCCACATCTTCAGCAATGGTGAATGATTTTCTTCTCTTTGTTTTTGATGAACCTTTCGTAGTGATTATGTGAAAAACTATAAATAAAAATGTAATTTGGGAGGTTTGTAGTGAAATGAAATTGAGAAAAAAGGTTTGTATTTATAAAATTATAAAATATGACCCCTTTTTTCCCCTCTCCCCCCCTCCTCCCAAAATGTAGCTGTTGAGAATTTTCAAAAATGTGACTGTTTATGTATAGCCATTATGGTTTTGTTTCACTTGTATTTTTATTTATTTATTTATTTTTTAATGAACAAAATAGCATACTTGGACTAATCTTGGGGGTTGATTACTAAACAAGATCTCAGCTGTTGATTACATAACAATCCAACGATTGAGATCATCCTCTAGAATGACCGTTTATTATTTTCAAGACAAAAGCCCTCTCTCTCTCTCTTTCTCTCCCCCCCTCTTCAAACCAGTCGACTGAGAGATAGTGTCTTCTTCCTCTTTCTGTCTCTGTTTTTAAGCTCAAGTGTTTCTCTCTCTGTCCTCAAATCAATCACTGATTATCGAACAATTTTCTTCGATCTCCAAAACCAGTATACTATCTCTCTCTCTCTCTCTCTCTCTGTCTTCAAACTAGTTGGCAGAGATGGTGTCCCTCTCTCTCTCTCTCTCTCTAAATATCTCTCTCTTTAATCTTAAGGGCATCTCTCTCTCTCTCTCTCTCTCTCTCTCTCTCTCTGTTCTCAATCTAGTCGGCTGAGATGGTGTGTTTTCTTTCTGTGTCTGTCTCTTTCTCTGTCTTTGATCTCAAGAGCATTTTTCTCTCATTGTCCTCAAATCGATCACCGATCTCCGAAACGAGTTTTCTCTCTTTCTCTTTCTCTCGTTCTCTCTCTCTCTCAATGGAACTCCAGTGTTTAGGTGAACACTACTGTTTGGACTTCGATGGAGCTCGATTGGTTTGGGAACGAGCCTTACAAGTCGATAAAGAAGAAGTCTTAGAGGTCGATCCAGGTATTTATCATCTAAATTCATTTCTGAAGTTTATATAAATTTGTAAAATTGATTTTGAAATTTGTGTGATTTTGAAATTGAAATTTGTGAGATTTGTTTGTGTGATTCTAAAATTGATTTGGAAATTTGTGTGATTTTGAAATTCTGAAATTTGTGAAATTTTGATTTTGAAATTTGTGTGATTTGTTATAAATTTGTTCTATTATTTCTAAAATTTGTGAATTTCGCAACTTATTTGAAATTTGGATTTGATTATGAAATTTGGGAGATTTTTTAATGAATGAATTCTATTTTTTCAACAGAATTTGGAGCAAAAAATCTATTAATATTTGTTGATGTGGCATGTTTGGCACATGCTATTCAACATGCCAAATTTAAAAATAGAAATGACATATACTATATTTGATAAGAAAAATAGTAAGCCATTGAAGAACCCTTTTTTTTATAATTTTTTTTTACTACTGTTGCGAAATTATAACTTTAATAACTTCTTTAACAGCTCCATTAGAAATGCTCTTAACCGCTATCTTAGCTTAAAAAATAAAATAAACAATATATTAGATCTCGTTTGACAACATTATTTGTAGTTAAAATTGAAAAGGTCATTAAAAAATTAAAAAGCCAACAACTTATATTAAAAAGTGAAAAATTTATTTTTCTCTCTACTTTTTATATATTTTCTTTGTAAAAAATTAAAAAATCATTCTAAATATATTAATTTTGTTAATTAATATTTTAGAATAATGTTTGGTAGCTCGAGACTTCTCCCTCTCGAATCCCACTAATGCCCAAAACGACGTCGTTTTGGGCATTAGCCTTTTTTTTTTTTCCCCCCCTCCATTTTCACGCAGGGGGAAGAGGGAGAGGGAGAGGAAGAGCGAGAGAGAGAGAAAGAGAGAAGAAGAGGGCCATCGAGAGAGAGAAGAGAGCCCAGCCCGTCGCCGTCGTCGCCCAGCCCGTCGCCGTCGTTTGATCCAGAATCACGTCCCGACCGAACTTGGATACTGTTTGTGTCATGTATGTGAATAGGTTCAGAACAGTATTGTACATCGCGGAAAAGTAGTAGGAGAATTTATTGGTTGGTCCTGGCACGTCCAACTGATTTTTTTTTTTTTTGATTGATTGATAGAAAAGATAAAATTTATAATTTTATATTGAGTAATTAAACAATAAAAAAAATATGAGATTTGTAATTGATGAGAATTTTAGTCATTTTAATTTGATTTAACACTATAAATAAATATTAAATTAAAAAGTAAAAAGTCAATTTTTTATTAATTTTCGAAATCACTTTTTAAAAAATTAAAAAACTTAATAAAAAGTCAAAAGTGAATTTTTTATCAATTTCTCAAAACACCCCATAGTCCCGTCATATCCTCGACCACTTAATAATTTTTCAAAAAGTAAGTCAAAATTCACTTGCTTCTAAACTTGTTTGCCGTCATGAAAAGGAAATTACAAATGAATGAGACAGTGAAATTTTTTATTTTATTTTTATAACGGCATAAATTTTCTGTATGTATGGTGTAAGTTTTGTATGTCAAAATTGTGTTCCATCAATAGATTTTTAAGTTTTTTTTGTGCTTGCTGTACGGGGAGGAAATAATTCTCCTCGTATAATCCTGTTGACCAAGTCCACGCTCCTCCGTACGACGTCGCTTTGTCACCTGAAAATCCTAGACCAATTAATAATTTTTCAAAAAGTAAGTCAAAATTCACTTGCTTCTAAACTTGTTTGCCGTCATGAAAAGGAAATTACAAATGAATGAGGCAGTGAAATTTTTTATTTTATTTTTATAACGGCATAAATTTTGTGTATGTATGGTGTAAGTTTTGTATGTCAAAATTGTGTTCCATCAATAGATTTTTATGATGGTGTAAATTTCTTAAATCCATAGTGCAAGTTTTATATTATTATTGGCCCTGTTTAGAAGAGTTGTGGGAAAATATTTATAACTTATACCTTAACAGTTTATATTTTATAACTATGAACATAAGTTAATTTCTGACTTATAAATTAAGCTTCTCCTGCCCCA